AGTATATCCACATTTTGCAGTTATATTTAGTTACTGGAAACATGAGAAATAAAGAAATACTTTTAAAATCTATCCTAATAAATGGAAGGCTGAAAATTCCATGAGACGTTGGAATTTAACTCCCCCATCCTAGTAACTTGAGCGCTAGAGTCTTAAGGACTGGTTTTGAACCTTGGAATACTTAAGTAACTATACCATCTGGGGTAAGCCCTTGAACTCTTTAGGCCATAATCTAATATACGCATCTTTCATTCTATATATGTACTAAATATAATTGCTGGATGTTATGCCAAACATCCCAGGCAGAGAAAGAAGCTTGAGACATGGTTCTCTATACTCAGAGTTTATTTTCATTAAATCAACTTAGTTAATTCAAAATCACCTTCTTAATCAACATAATTCTTTTAGGTTTCTACTTCAAGCAAGCAGCTACTCAGGGACTCATGTCCAGAGGGACACAGGATAAATGAATAATTCTAAATGAGAGGCCGCTGACACCTATGAATCAGAGGACTACTGGGAATAATTTTTCAAGCCTGTAGCCAGCTAATCCCATCTTGCATCACATTCTGTTCTCCTTCGTTACTACCAAAGATGTAAGCCCCTCTGGTGTTTAGTCTCAACAATATTTCTTTAGGCACCTTCTTCTCTGACCCCACCTCTCATTCTTCCTTGCCTCCAAAACTTTCCCTTTGTATCCTCCTGTTCCAACACCCACATCTTGGCTAAATGCCCCCTCAACCTCCTTGAATAAGTGGCCACACTTGACCTTTCTCTCTCATTCCTTCTTGCTAACCATCATCACATCCAATCAGTCACCAAAATCCTGCTGATACCTTCTTGTCAGGGAAAATTGGGAAAGACTTTGAAATGGGCAGAAAAGGTGACTGGGTTTTCTGCCTAAGGTAAAAAAAGATGACGAGTACTCTTGCCCAGGGCACGACTCTCAGTTTTTTGTGAGCCTTTCATTGTTTTTAAGATATTTGCAACTCTACAATACAGCAAATACAACTATTTCTTATCCATAGAAATGCAACTGAATTGTGTCTTCTGGCGGAATGCGATTGATTATTGCCCTGTGCATATTGACTGCTTTTGCCCCTACTTGTACATTCATTGCAGCATTCCCGATTGCACGTGTGTGTGTGCGCGCGCGTGTGCATGTGCTCGCGCACACATTCACATGTGCGCTTTGAATTTTTATTGTAATACCTTACTGGTTTCCTTATTGATTAATGAGTTAAATAAAATCTGCAACTCATTTTATGTGTGTATGACTTATTTTACTCTTATGAAAAGTATCCTTTAACGTTCTGAATATCTCTTAAATTTGCATACTTCCCCCCACCCCGATAACCCCTTCTAGTACAGGTTATTACCATCTTTGCCTGGATTATTTTATTGTATTTATTTTTTTTGAGACAGAGTTGTACTCCATCACCCAGGCTGGAGTGCAGTGGTGTGATCTTGGCTCACTGCAACCTCCGCCTTCTGAGTTCAAGTGATTCTCCTGCCTCAGCCTCCTGAGTAGCTGGAATAATAGGTGCCTGCCACCATGCCTAGCTAATTTTTGTATTTTTTGTAGGGATGGAGTTTCACCATGTTGGCCAGGCTGGTCTCGAACTCCTGACCTCAGATGATCCACCCACCTTGGCGTCCCAAAGTGCTGGGATTACAGGCATGAGCCAGCACACCCAGCCAGCCTAGATTATTTTAAAACCCACTAATTGTACCCTTGCCCATGGTCTCTTTATCCTATTCCATGATCTCCATAACTATTTCTTCAGCATGTGATTCTGAACAACATACCACTCAACTTCATAAAATCTCCTGCGCCCAGAACAAGCGCAGCCCTCTAGGCCTGTTTTGCTTCTCTAGCCCCATGTTTGACATTGACCCGCAGTTCACCAGTCAGACTCATTTCCGTTCTCTGAATTCACTGCCTTCTCTCTCACCTCTGGATAAAGCACTTGCAATCCACTTTGCGTGCAACGCACTCCGCATGCCTCTCTTCTCCCAATTCCTGCCCGTTCTTCAGGGCTCACCTCTGTTACCACTTCCTTCAGGAAGCCTCCCTCTCGTCTGGGTTAGATGCTCCACTTGTGTTCTCCTCTGGAGCCTGCATTCCCTCAGCCCCTTCCCCCCTCCTCTAAGAGCACATATCACGCTGTATTATAACTGCTCTTTAATGATCTCCCCTCCTAGTCTGCAAGCTCTGTGTAGGCAGGTGCCATGTTCAGTTTGAATCCTGAAATCCTTACGTAACCACCATATGATCTGGAGTAAGTCCTTGAACTCTTTAGGCCATAATCCAATATATAAATTATATCTTATATCCAACATGTTCAAGCCTGCTACTGTTTACCACTACATCCCCAGGGCATAGCACAGCATGTAAGGGTCATTCAAGAACATATTCTGAAAGCTGAGTTCTCTATATGGTCTCAAGAAAATAACAGAAACTTTACTATAAAAATCCTTCTCATGGACTATGACCCACCCCACCTACCTGAGCTCACCTCCTCCACCCCCAAAAAACACACGTTATACTTAAACAGAATGTACTTCAGTTTATTTTGGTTTTTATTTCATAGGTATCTAACCTATCTGCTTTTTAATTGTGAACAGTTCCACCTAATGGCCATCCTAGGAGAGATGAAACAGAGTTTTGTTTTACTTTATGACAGGGAAAAGGGATTGGGAGCAGAAAAAAGCACAAGAAAAGGAAAAGAAGGTCAGAATTACGTGAAATAGCTATAGTAGACATGATGGGTTCTAGCTGTTGCTCAACCATTAAAAAAATCTGTTTAATTCTTCTTATGTTCAACCAAGAAATACGAATTTTAGAATAAATGTAGAAAATAGTAACTGTAATAAGGCACAGAAGCAATACATTAGAGGTCTGTGTTCCCTTCTTTATACTATTTTATATTCATTTTTTGAAATTAACTGATGTTTATTTAGGTCCTGTGTTTATGGTTTATTCTTAGCAAACAAAATCCTGTATGTATTATTCAGCCTTTAAAAGGAGGGAAATGACAGCACATGCTACAATGTGGATAAGACTTGAAGACATTACGCTAAGTGAAATAAGCCAGGTGCAAAAGGAAAATATCGTATGATTTTATTTATATGTGGTACTTACAGTATTCAAGTTCATAGAGACAGAAAATAGAACGGTGGCTGTTCTATTTTCAGGGTGTGTGGGGAAGGGGGAATGGGGAGTTTTTGGTTAACAGGTAGAGTATCAGTTTTACAAAATGAAGAGTTCTGTGGATGGATGGTGGTGGTGATGGTTTCAAAACAATGTGAATGTACCTAATGCTGCTGAACTGTACACTTCAAATGGCTGAAACTGTAAATGTTATGCTACGGGTATTTTATCATAAGAAAAAAAGGAAGGGGGAAATCCTGCTTTATCACTGAAATTGCAGTAACTGGCAGCTATTGGTAGGAACCCTGGACAGATTAGGATGTGTAGGATGGCACTGTTGATGCAGATATAAGAAAGGAAAATATTCTGAATGTAAAGTGATTTCAAAGAAACTCAGGAGATAAAGGTGAAGGTTGAAAACATTTACAAGAATAAAATCCTGCTTTGTAATGAGTAACAATCAAGTGTTCTCTAAGGGTTATGTATTAGAACCTCTATCTTTGCGTAGCCTTTAAGAAAAATGTCATTTTCTCTATGAAATTGCACTCAGTTGCCAAGGAGAGGGAGGCAGTGCAGTGGCATAGAAAAGAGTTTGGACCCTGAAGCCAGACAGTCTGAAACTGAACGCTGACCCCACCTTGATGAATTTACTCTCTTTGTGCTTTGGTTTCATCTGGAAATTAGAGATAATAACCACAGCGCCCACCACGCAGAGCTGTTGTGAGGATTAAATATGTAAGGCACTGTCAACAGTGTCTGGCACATAGTAAACCCAACAGAGATATTAGCTATTACTCACACCCTACGCAATGGTGCTTACAGTATGCTCTGGGAACTCCTAGGGACCCCTGAGATCTTTTAAGGGGCCTGTGAATTATTTACATAATAATAAGATATTATTTTCCTTTTTATCACATTCTCTCACAAGTAGACAGTGGATTTTCCCAGTGGCCACTATATACCCATTGATATCACAACAGATTGAAAGCAGAAGCAGATATGAGAATCTAGCTATCATCTGTTAAGTTGGACATTAAAGACATTTGCAAAATCCTCTTTTCTCAATACCACTCTCCTCACAAAAAAATTGTGAACGTTTGGAAACTGTAGTTTTTTTCATGAAAGAAAATATTTTTTTATGTCACTGTATAATAGGTTTGTTATTTTAAAAATACATTAATACTTAACAAATTTTTTGTTTTAGTTTCTAATATGGTAAATATAGGCAATGGAACTCACATAAAAGCCCTTTGGTTTGAGGTTCTCATTTTTTTTTTTTTTTTTTTTTTTTGGTCCTGAGACCAAAAAGTTGGAGAACTGCTGTCTGAGTAAAATATAACGTATGTGTCAATTTCTCCAAGTAGACTGTGAATTCTTGCAGACAAGAATACTATTGCATTTTTTTCTTTACTTTCTATCTTTTTTTTTTTTTTTTTTTAAATTTGCCTCAGGTATCAACTGGCAGTCTTTTCTACATGGTTAGACAATAAATGAAAAGAAAGAAGCTAACATATATTAGCAACTACCATTTATTCAGGGCTTAGTATATGTGACGCATTATGCTCAGACTTTATGTACCATATCTCATTTCACCCCTGTTCGGTTCTGTAAGTATTCCTATTATATACATAGGAGAAACTTAGAGACTTTAAATAACTTACCCAAGGCATGCAGCTAATAAATGGAAACACTAAGACTCAACTATTATTGTCTCACTTTAGAGGCCAAACTTGTAACCCCTTTGAAAGAGTGGGAAGGTGTAGAGAAATTTGGAAGGCTATGATTAAGCAAGACCAATTATTTACAAGGCATGGTCCTAGGAGTACCTATTAAGTACCTCGTTTACCTTTACTAGAGGTCTGTAATCCTGAATTACTCTTAGATTTTCATATTGTCATTTAGAGCAACTTTTATTTTGTTTAACACAGAGAACATACTCTTGTACACTAATGTCCAAAAGGTCTTTCCTAAGAAGATGCATTCCTCAACCACAATGTACTGCCTCTGCTGCTCAAGGAAGTAAAAAGGAGGTACCTCTGAAAGAACAACACAACACAAATTTTAAGGTCTAACACTTAAAAAACAATATAACAGTATTCTGAAAATTTGAGTAATAGAGAAAAAAGTAATTTTATTGCCCTAACTAAAAAATTTCCGGCAAAAATCAGTTGACTATAAATACATGAATTTCTTTCTGGGTTCTCTATTCTGTCCAGTGGTCTATGTGTCTGTTTTTATGCCAATTCCATGTTGTTTTGGTTACTATGCCTTTGTAGTATACTTTGGAGTCCGATTGTGTGACGTCTCCAGCTTTGTTCTTTTTGTTCAGTATTGCTTTGGCTATTCGGGGTCTTTTGTGGTTCTGTGTAAATTTTAGAATTGTTTTTTCTATTTCTGTGTAGAACAGCATTGGTATTTTGATAGGGATTGCATTGAATCTGTAGATTGCTTTGGGTAATATGGCCATTTTTAACAATATTAATTCTTCCAATCCATTAGCATGGGATATTTGTCCATTTGCTTGTGTTTTTTTCAATTTCCTTTTTTTTTTTCTTTTTGTGAGCCAGAGTCTCACTCTGTCATCCAGGCTAGAGTGTGGTGCTGTAATCACGGCTGGCTGCAGCCTCAGCCTCCTGGGCTCAAGCAATCCTCCCATCTCATCCTCCCTAGTAGCTGGGACTATAGGTGCACGCCACTACATCCGGCTACCTTTTGTATTTTTTGTAGAGATGAAATTTTGCCACATTTCCCAGGCTGGTCTGGAGCTCCAGGACTCCAGTGATCCACCTGCCTCAGCCTCCCCAAATGCTAGGATTACAGGCATAAGCCATCCTGCCTGGCCTTTTCAGTTTTTTTCTTTTTTTTTTTTTTTTTTGTTGAGACAGAGTCTTACACTGTCCCTGGGGCTGGAGTGCAGTGGTGTGATCTCGGCTTGCTGCAACCTCCAACTCCCAGGTTCAAGCGATTTTCCTTGCCTCAGCCTCCCAAGTAGCTGGGATTACAGACACCTGCCACCATGCCTGGCTAATTTTTTTGTATTTTTAGTAGAGACGGGGTTTCACTGTGTTGGCCAGACTGGTCTCAAACTCCTGACCTCATGATCTGCCCACTTCAGCCTCCCAAAGTGCTGGGATTACAAGTGTGAGCCACCACACCCGGCCTTCAATTTCTTTTATGTGTTTTGTAGCTGCCTTGTATAGGTCTTTTACCTCCTTGATTACATTCATTCCTAGTTGGGTTTTTTTGTTTGTTTGTTTTGGCAGTAATTGTAAATGGGATTGTTTTCTTGGTTTTTTTTTTTTTTGTTTTTTTTTTTTACAGTTATTGGTGTATATTTTGTGTAAACTACTGATCTTTGTGCATTGATTTTTAAACTTTTTTTAACCACCTAAGTTCTTGTCTCATGTATGCTAATTTTTGTATCCTGCAACTTTCCAGAATTTGTTCATCAGTTCTATGAGTTTTTTGGTAAAGTCTTTAGGATTTTCTATGTATAAGAGCGTTTTATCTGAAAAGAGGCATGACTTCCTCTTTTCCAAATTAGATGCTGTTTCTTTCTTCCTTTTGCTTGATTGTTCTGGCTAGGACTTCCCATACTATGTTGAATGAGACTGGTGAGTGAGCATATCGTTCCAAGTCTTGCTCTGTTGTCCACAGAGTGCAGCGGCCCGATCTTGTCTCACTGCAACCTCCGCCTCATGGGTTCAAGCAATTCTCCTGCCTCAGCCTCCCAAGTAGCTGGGATTACAGGTGCCTGCCACCGTGCCAGGCTAGTTTTTGTATTTTTAGTAAGGATGGGGTTTCACCATGTTGGCCAGGCTGGTCTCGAACTCCTGACCTCAGGTGATACACCCGCCTCGGCCACCCAAAGTGCTGGGAATGCAGGTGTGACACCGTCCCTTGGTAGGCTTGAACCACCAACATTTTGGTTAACAGCTGAACGCACTAACTGGTTGCACCATAGAGGTGCTGTTCCAGTTCTTTGAGGAAGGCTTTCACTCTTCCCCATTCAGTGTGATGACAGCTGTGAGTTTCTCATATATGGTCTTTATTATGTTGAGGTATGATCCTTCTGTGACTAATTTGTTGAAAGGTTTTTTTTTTTTTTTTTTTTTAGACAGAGTCTCGCTCTGTCACCCAGGCTGGAGTGCAGTGGCACGATCTCAGCTCACTGCAACCTCTGCCTCCCAGATTCAAGCGATTCTCCTGCTTCAGTCTCCTGAGTAGCTAGGATTACAGGTGCCTGCCACCACACCCAGCTAATTTTTGTATTTTTAGTAGAGACAGTTTCACTGTGTTGGCCAGGCTGGTCTCGAACTCCTGACCTCATTATCCACCTGCCTCAGCCTCCCAAAGTGCTGGGATTACAAGCATGAGCCACCGCGCCTGGCCAGTTGAAAGTTTTTGGTCATGAAGTGATGTTGAATTTTATCAGTAATTTTTCTGCATTTATTGAGGTGATCATATAGTGTCTTAGTCCATTTTGTGTCATTAAAAAGGGATATTTGAGACTAGGTAATTTATTTTTTAAAAAAGGTTTCCCTGGTTCCTGATTCTGATGTCTGAAAAAGTTCAAGACTGGGCATCTTCAACTGGTGAGGGGCTTAAGCTGCTTCCACTCATGGTGGAAAGCAAAGGGAAACCGACTTGTGCAGAAATCACATAGAGAGAGAGGTGGGGAGGTGCCAGGCTCTTTTTACCAACCAGCTTTCACAGGCACTAACAGAGTGAGAACTCACTGATCTGCAGGAGAGGGCATTAATATACTCACAAGGGATCTGCCCCATGACTGAGACACCTCCCATTAGGGACCACCTCCAATGCTGAAAATCAAATTTCAACATGAAATTTGGTGGGAACAAATAAACCATATCCAAACTATGGCATCTGTCCTTCATTCTGTTGATGTTGATGTGATGTATCACATTTATTTATTTATTTTTCCTTTCTGTTTTTCAACTTTTAAGTTCAGGGATACCTGTGCAGGATGTGCAGTTTCGTTAACACGGATAAATGCGTGCCACGGTAGTTTGCTGCACTCATCATCCCATTATCCAGGTATTAAGCCCAGTATCCACTAGCTATTCTTCCTGATCCTCTCCCTCCTCCCAGCCCTGCCCTCAGACAGGCTCCAGTGTATGTTGTTCCCCACCATGTTCCATGCATTCTCATCACATGTGGTATTTGGTTTGCTGTTCCTGCATTAGTTTGCAGGAACATAATGGCCTCCAGCTCCATCCATGTCCCTGCAAAGAACATGATCTTGTTCATTTTTACGGCTGCATAGTGTTCCCTGGTGCATACGTAACATGTTTTCTTCATCCAATCTATCATTGAGGGACATTTAGGTTGATTCCCTGTCTTTGCTCTTGTTAGTAGTACTGCAATGAACATATGTGTGCATGTGTTTTTACAGTAGAATAATTTATATTCCTTTGGGCATATACTCAGTAATGGGATTGCTGGGTTGAATGGTATTTCTGCCTCTAGGTCTTTGAGGAATAGCCACACTATCTTCCACAATGGTTGAACCACTTTACACTCCCACTAACTGTATACAAGCATTCCCTTTTTTCCACTACCTCGACAGCATCAGTTGTTTTTTGAATTTTCACTAGCCATTCTGACTGGTGTGAGATGGTATTTCATCATGGTTTTGATTTGCATTTCTCTAATGATCAGTGATGTTGAGCTTTTTTTCACGTTTGTTGGTCACATGTATGTCTTCTTTTGAGAAGTATCTGTTCATGTCCTTTGCCCATTTTTTAATAGGGATTTTTTTTTTGTAAATTAGTTTACCTTCCTTACAGATGCTGGATATTCGACCTTTGTTGGATGCATAGATTACAAAACTTTTCTCCCATTCTGTAGGTTGTCTGTTTATTCTGTTGATAGTTTCTTTTGCTGGTATCACATTTATTGATTTGCATATGTTGAACCATCTTAATAAGTTCCACTAATCATGTGTATTAAGCATATTAATTTTTTTTTTTTTTGAGACAGGGTCTGCTTTGTCACCTAGGCTGGAATGCAATGGTGTGACCTCAGCTAACTGCAACCTCTGCCTCCCAGGTTCAAACGATTCTCCTGCCTCAGTCTCCTTAGTAGGTTCAACTATAGGCACCCACCACCATGGCTGGCTAAATTTTGTATTTCTAGTAGAGACAGAGTTTGGCAGTGTTGGCCAGGCTGGTCTCTAACTCCTGACTTCAGGTGATCAGCCCACCTTGGCCTCCCAAAGTGCTGGGACTACAGGTGTGAGTCATCACACCTAGCTGTGTATTAACTTTTTGACGTGGTGTTGGATTTGGTTTCCTAGTATTATGTTGGGGATTTTTGCACCTATGTTCATCAGAGATACTGGCTTGTAGTTTTCTTTTTTTGTTGTGTCCTTGTCTAGGTTTTGGTATCAGGGTAATCTGGCCTCACAGCATGAGCCAGGAAGAATTCCCTCCTCTTCAATGTTTTGGAATAGTTTGCGAAGAATTAGTGTTAGTGCTTCTTTATAAGATTGGTAGAATTCAGCCAGGCATGGTGGTTCCCACCTGCAATCTCAGCACTTTGTGAGGCGAGTGGATCACTTGAGGCCAGGAGTTCGAGACCAGCCTGGCCAACATGGCAAAACCCCATCTCTACTAGGAAAAAAAAAATACAAAAATTAGTTGGATGTGGTGGTGCACGCCTGTAAGCCCAGCTACTTGGGAGGCCGAGGCAGGAGAATCACTTGAACCCAGGAGGCAGAGATTGCAGTGAGCTGAAATTGCACCACTGCACTCTACCCTGAATGACAGAGTGAGACTTTGTCTAAAAAAAAAAAAACCAAACAACAACAACAACAACAACAAAACAGATTGGTAGAATTCAGCAGTAAAGCCACCAGTCCTGGCTTTTCTTATTAAGAAATCTACTCGAAATGGATTGACAACTTAAGACCCAAAACCATAAAACTACAAAAAAAAAAAAAAAAAAAAAATCAAGGAAATGCTTCAGGACATGGGTCTAGGCAAAGATTTTATGGCTAAGACTTCAAAAGCAC